GATCTTGACTTTGCGACAACTTGCGAGGATAATCGCCCTTCTCTCAGCCTCCATACAAGCAATCTTTCCAGGGCCTCTCCACTACAGGAGTCTACAACAGCTCAAGGCCGCACACCTATCTGCAAGACAACAGCGCCTGGCAACTGAATCGCACAATATCCCTATGGCTCCAACAACTCTGGGGCCCGATGCATATCGACCTCTCTGCCTCCCGGTTGAATTCTCAGCTCCTGTCATTCTTCAGCTAGAGACCGGACCCAGACGCCCTGGCGGTGGATGCCTTCCTCTAACAAACGACTCTATGCATTTCCTCTCTTCTCTCTACTAGCTCGGACCTTATTACATCTAAAACACTCCCAAGCATCGCTGGTCCTGATAGCGCCGTTCTGGACGGCACAACCTTGGTTCCCATTTGCTCATGGAAATGTCTATCGATCTTCCCAGTCTAATCCCTGGATCCATGGACCTACTATCGGATCCCAATGGGAACTCTCATCCCCTTCTGGGCATCTCAGACTTCTGGCGTGGCTCCTCTCCGTAGACCTTGGGTCGTGCCGAATGTTTCACAAGCACCTCTTGCCTTATTGGCAGGAGCTTGGGATCCAGGAACAAGACGATCCTATACTCATGCCTGGAACACATGGATTGGTTGGTGCATGGAACACGTGGATCCCATACGTGCTTCTGTAAACCACAACTTGAGTTTCCTTACCGCCCTTTATGACCAAAGTTTGGCCTATCGCACGATAAACGTATATAGATCGGCGATATCAGCTAGTCACAATGGAATGGATGGTTTCCCGGCTGGGAAACACTTGCTGGTCTGTCGCATTAGATTTGCACCTCCCCCCCATCCTGATACACGGTTTGTGAGATGTCAACCTGGTTCTTCATCTGTTGGAGGATTGGTCTATGAACCCAGACCTTACGCTCAAACAAGTGTCTGCAAAATGTTGCTTGCTGTTGTGTTTAATTTCCTGCAAAAGGGTGTTGGATGTCCGAGCTCTGGATATTGACGCATGTTCCTTCACTCCGACCGGTGTTTTATTTAATATCACCAGACGTATGAAATCGAACATTACTTAATCAATCAAACCATTAATTTTGTCTTTTGCTGGACTCACGGTGACATGTTCAGTTTTAATTGTCACGGATACAAATTACGACATCAGTATTTGAACATATTTTACCACCTGTTTCTCTGTCGCTTACAGCTTGAACCTTTACAATGGTTTAATCGGGACCGGTTTTCTTCCCATGATTGCAATGGAGGTGCTCTCTAGGATCGGATTATGTCTACACATTTTTCAGATGATGGACTGTTGGTCATGTCAAGTCAATTGTTTTATGTTGGTTGTTTATTGTTGAATTTCTGATCATGCACAGTGAAGCTTCAGGTCAACTCACTGCGCATCACAAATTGCGCAAGCACACTTTTATTGTAACCACGTGACGCGGAAGTAATATCACGCGTCACGTGGTCCTCTTAAAGGACCCCAGACCACTTCAGCTCAATGAAGTGGTCTGGGTGCCAGGTCCCTCTAGGGTTAACCCTGCCTGCTGTTTACATATCGGTTAATCCAGCCTCTAGTGGCTGTCTCATTGAGCTTCTCCATAGGACTGACTGAATGCGTGCGCAGCTCTTGCCACGCATGCGCATTCGGCGCATGAGGGAGGAGAGTCCCCAGCGCCAAGGGAGCCTGGCGCTGGAGAAAGGTAATGGATTAACTCCTTCCTCCCCCTAGAGCCCGGCGGGAGGGGGGCCATGAGGGTGGGGGGACCTAAAGACCATATAGTGCCAGGAAAACTAGTTTGTTTTCCTGGCACTATAGTGGTCCTTTAATGCATAAAGTTTGATATAAGGCTTAATCAGCCTCGTTTTTATATTCTTAGCATACTGTTAGGCAACTTGTGTCAATTATACTATATACTGCTACCCATTTGTATGTTCTTATATTTATTATGTGTAATTGGTGTTGCTCCTCCCATATGACGTCATAATGGTGCCAAATTCAAACAGCCAAAGTGTCATTAGCCTCCTATATAAACTCTCATGTGCCAGGCCTATTATTCTGTTATTTTTATCTGCTTGAAGAAGCCTTGCAAGGTGAAACGTGTTGTAGATTTTTAATTATTTTATTTGTATTCAATAAGGGGATTTTTCCAATATTAATTTTTTTGCCTGGCAGCCTGATTTACCATCTCAAAGAGGATAAAAGAATCCTGAGGTGGGGATAATACTACCGACGCTTTGTACATCGAGCAGTCAGTCTGCTCAAAAATATTCTTATACTGTATATCACTCTTTGGTTTTAAAGCTACAGTGAGCTCTATATTATTGCCATTCTTATCTTCTCGGTCTGGATCCCTAATAATGCAAGAATATTTGAAGAATTTATCTACTACATATATCCCACAAGTGGAGATCATTCCACTTTACGCCATACAAACCGGAGCTGGGTATAGCTCTGGTAAGTGTGAGTAGAATAGATTTTACATACTGTTTTATACCACATTTTTAACGTATTGTACTATTGGAGTTTCTCTCTTTATGTTTTTCATGCGCTATTGGAATTACAAGCACTCTTCCATCAAGAATTTTTGATTGTACCAAAGTTTGTCTGTTCAAGTGTATAAATATAATAATGTAAGACCTCACAAGCACAGGAATATAAGCCCTTCAAATAACTATAAACATGCTTCCATAACTCTCTTTTTTGTTTTCTGAAATATTTTGTATTAGGAAATTGTGACTGTCTGGATTTTGATAACATTTTTAATATTAATCTACTAAATTAATGTTTTATTGAATATAATGCGATAATTGAATGGGTACCAGTCTGCTAAACTTCTAATTTTATACATTAACATAACTAACCTAGTTAAACATCTCAGGTGGGAAATTCTGTCAGATTCAGTTCACCTTAGATATAAATCCAATATGAGTCAACCATTGCTTTTAAGCAGAACATGATAAAAACATGATTTCATGAGAGACAGTATTATTGTTTGACTTGCAAGTTCTGTCAGACTTGTGAAGCTCAAGAAATATTTAAATTCTAGTCTGATGCCTAGGCTATAAACCATTTTTTCTTAAAGAAACAATCAAAAAACACTGCAACCACTACATAGTGTTGTAGTGGTTATGGTGCCAGGAACGCACGGTTACCCCTCTGATATAAGTAGTCAAACCGTTTACTAATGGTTTGACCTCTTACCTGTGTTCTGCTGGATTCCACTCCTTGCCTCCACTACTACTGATTATAGAAGAGCCTGAAGCTCTCTGTTTGAGCTGGTCTCCCATATTAAGATGCAGATCACTCCCATTACTCATGGCAATAATGAAAAACAGTGAATTGTAAATGGGTTAAACAGTGAGGCAATGCTCAGTTTGTCAGAGAGTGATAAGGATTCAAACTCTGCCTACATGCTGCAGCACAGGCACACAAGGAACCAATATACACTGTTAATGTTTCCCTACAAGATCCCTTACAGGGAGGGATCCCCCTGCCTCCCACTTCTTGCTCTCCTCTCTGGCTCTGAATAACATGGTGCTTAGAGGCTGCTCAGAGTGACAGGAACTGCAGCATGGCTTCCTGCACTGGGAGGGAAGATCTGAGTCAAGGACACCTACCTTTCCCTTCCCTATGCTAGAAAGACACTCCAATACAGATAAGAGTGCTTGGGAGGAAATGGTATACCTATGTTTTTATGTGTTTGCAGCTCTCTGTGCCAGGGGTGAACCTAGCATAGTTAGCACGGGTGGATTTGACTGTTGACACCCCATTGAAACAGCATTTAAAAAAACTAAAGGTGACCAACCATGTACCATAGCTACTAAGGCCTATTGTTATGGTTAGTGGCAGGCAAGTTCACGCCTTGTATTGTTTGTAAAAAAAAATCTTCCACCACAACTTTTCCATTATATCTTAGGCCCTCTCCAATGTTCCATGTTCCTCATGACTCTCCAATCCTTTTCACATCCCTTGTTACTCCATGACCCTCATGTGTGTTTCCAACCCACCTTCCCATGTCCCTTATGTCTCTCCAATCTTTTTCACCGCCCTTTAACCCTCCCCCCTTTTCTATGTGTATACTTGGAAATCTGTATGTGTATACTTGGAAATCTGTATATGACTATGATTATTTTGTTTAGTGACTTGGTTTGTTCTTAGCATACATCCCTTATCACAATGTATTGAAATACTACAAAAACTCTTAAAGGGACACTATAGTCACTCAGACCACTTCAGCTCAATGAAGTGGTCTGGGTGCCAGGTCCCTCAGGTTTTAACCCTTCAGATGCAAACATAGCAGTTTCAGAGAAACTGCTATGTTTACATTGCAGGGTTAAGCCAGCCTCTAGTGGCTGCTTTCCTATTGACAGATTGAATGCATGCGCTGCATTTGCCGCGCATGCGCATTCAGCTCCGCTGACATCGCCAGAGGGAGCTGACGTCGGCGGGGGAGGAGAGGTCACCAGCGCCGAGGGAGCCCGGCGCCACGGGGGGGACCCTGAGGGTGGGGGCAACTACTTCTGCCCAATTGACTGTTTTATCATGGCTGATAGTTTATGAACTACTGATGACTTCTGCATTGCTGAAATTTTCGATTTACTGGTGTTTTCATAATGACTAATGGAGTGACCGTCATTTTTTGCATGGCTGACGATTTCTGAATGACTGACTGTTTCTGCACAGCTGTTGATGTATGTGCTTCTGACTTGTTCTGCATGGCTGGGGACTTCCGCATGACTGCCGTCTTTGGTATAACTGACTCCTCCTGCATGACTGACACCTTCTGTATGATAGGTACCTTCTGCATGACTGGACTCTTTCACATGACTGCTTACTTCATGACTGAAGCCTTTTGCAGGATAGTCACTTTTTTATGACTGGCATCTTTGGCATGACTGGCATGTTTAGCATGACTGGTGACTTTGGATGACTGGCATCTTTGCCATGACTGGAGACTTAGCATAACTGGTCATTTTTCCATGACTAATTGTTTCTCCATGACCGACACCTTTTGCATGACTTTCTTTCTGCATGACAGATGTTTTTGGCAAGGCTGATGCCTTCTGCATGACTGGCTCCTTTGTCATAACTGGTAATTTCCCCATGACTGATCCCTAGTGTTAGACTGAGATGACTTGTACCTTTTCTATGCTTGGTGTCTTTAACATGACTGGCCCTTCCTGCACGATAGATGCCTTGGGCAAGACTGAGGCCTTCTGCATGACTGTCACTTTCTGCATGATTGATGTTTTTGGCATCTTTTGCAAGACTGGTATTTTTGAGATGACTGAAGCCTTTGGCATGACTAGTGATTTCTTCATGATTGATCCTTCTGGCATGACTGGCTCCTTTCGTATGATGGAAGCCTTCTGCATGATTGTTGCCTTTGGCAAGATAGGGACATTTTGCTTTTGCATGACTGCTATCTTTGAGATTACTGGCCCTTTCTGTATGACTGGCACCTTCTTCATGACTGGTGCCATGGCCGATGCCTTCTCCGTGACTAGCACATTTTGCACGACTAGTACCTTTGACATGACTGGTGAAGTCTCTATGACAAATCCTTTCAGCATGACTGTTGCTTTCTGCATGAGTGATGCCTTTGACATAATTGACTCCTTTCTGCATGATTGGTGTTTTTGGTTTGATTGGCACCTTTTGCATGACTGGCATCTGTGAGATGACTGGAGCCTTTGGCATGACTGGTGATTTCTCCATGATTGGTCCTTCTTGCATGACAGACTGCTTCTGTATGACGGGAGCCTTTTACATGATTATTGTTTTCTGCGTGATTGATGCCTTTGGCAAGATAGGCACATTTTGAGATTACTGGCCCTTTCTGTATGACTGGCACCTTCTGCATGACTGGTGCCTTCAGAATGGCTGATGCCTTCTCCATAACTAGCACATTTTGCAGGACTGGCACAGTTGGCATGACTGGTGATGTCTCTATGACAAATCTTTTCCGCATGGCTGTTGCTTTCTGCATGAGTGATGCCTTTGACATAATTGACTCCTTCTGTATGACTGGCACCTTTGGCATGACTAATGATTTCAGCATATCTAGCACCTTTGGCATGGCTGACCTTTTGTGCATGACTGGCACCTTCTGCTTAACTGGCAACTTCAGCTGGCTCCTGTGCCTGAGTACATATGTTCAAAACACTGCTTCTACTTGGCTTAATTTTATAATCAAATGACTGCTTGGACTCCACTGACTTCTTATACGCCACTGACTGCTTTTACTGCTGTTACTGCTTCTACTCCACCGACTGCTTGTAAAGCACTGACTGCTTCTGCAGTATATTGAACAATCAGAAATATGTCATAATCCATAAGTGGGTTATAGCCAATTACAATGCATCCTCCTGATTGGTTGGTAAACAGTGCAGCTCAGCCAATGAGAGATCAGTGTGAGCTCAGCTGCTGAGTAGACTCCACCCACAGCCTATCACTACCATTTGCAGCTATATTTAGTTTTGTTAGATAAATAAAATCTGTGTCCAATTTATTGTAAACTGATTTATTTAACGAAAACTGTCACTTACTCAATTTTAGAACAAACTAATAGCTAACTAAACATTAACTACAGGTTGTGCTAAAATTATTTTATATTAACTTTTTATTTCTCATACTCCAGTAACACAGTACAGAGCTCTCTGTATTGTGTAAACTGGGAATTCCTATGAAGTAGGGTTAATGTAGGGAAAGAGTTAATGCGGTGTTATACAGTCAGGTCCATACATATTGGGACATCGACACAATTCTAATATTTTTGGCTCTATACACCACCACAATGGATTTGAAATGAAATTAACAAGATGTGCTTTAACTGCAGACTTTCAGCTTTAATTTGAGGGTATTTACATCCAAATCAGGTGAAGGGTGTAGGAATTACAACAGTTTGTATATGTGCCTCCCACCTTTCAAGGGACCAAAAGTAATGGGACAATTGGCTGCTCAGCTGTTCCATGGCCAGGTGTGTGTTATTCCCTCATTATCCCATTTACAAGGAGCAGATAAAAAGGTCCAGAGTTCATTTCAAGTGTGCTATTTGCATTTGGAATCTGTTGTTGTCAACTCTCAATATGAGATCCAAAGAGCTGTCACTATCAGTGAAGTAAGCCATCATTAGGCTGAAAAAACAAAACAACCCCATCAGAGAGATAGCAAAAACATTAGGTGTGGCCAAATCAACTGTTTGGAACATCCTTAAAAAGAAAGAACGCACAGGTGAGCTCAGCAACACCAAAAGACCCGGAAGACCACGGAAAACAACTGTGGTGAATGACCGAAGAATTCTTTCCCTGGTGAAGAAAACACCCTTCACAACAGTTGGCCAGATCAAGAACACTCTCCATGAGGTAGGTGTATGTGTGTCAAAGTCAACAATCAAGAGAAGACTTCACCAGATTGAATACAGAGGGTTCACCACAAGATGTAAACCATTGGTGAGCCTCAAAAACAGGAAGGCCAGATATGAATTTGCCATTTGATATGAATGAGACCAAGATCAACTTGTATCAGAGTGATGGGAAGAGAAGAGTATGGAGAAGGAAAGGAACTGCTCATGATCCAAAGCATACCACCTCATCAGTGAAGCATGGTGGTGGTAGTGTTATGGTGTGGGCATGTATGGCTGCCAATGGAACTGGTTCTCTTGTATTTATTGATGATGTGACTGCTGACAAAAGCAGCAGGATGAATTCTGAAGTGTTTCGGGCAATATTATCTGCTCATATTCAGTCAAATGCTTCAGAACTCATTGGACGGCGCTTCACAGTGCAGATGGACAATGACCCTAAGCATGCTGCAAAAGCAACCAAAGACTTTAACCCCTTAAGGACGGAGGGCGTACTATTACGCCCTGCAGGAGCCGGCTCTAAACGCCGGCGGGCGTAATAGTACGCCCTCACTTTAATGGCCGCCCACGTGGCCGGCGCTATTCGCCCGCTGCAGATCGCGGTCGGGGGGGATGCCCGGCCCCCCAGGCAACCCCCCCTGTGGCCGGTGACCGCGATCTGCAGTCACTGATCGCAGTGACAGGCTGTCACTGCGATCAGTTTTTTAACGTGTGTCAGCCGATTTCAAATCGGCTGACACACGTGGCCAGCGGCTTTCCCCGTGCAGATCGCGGTCGGGGGACTTACCTGGCCCCCCAGGCAGTCCCCCTGGGGTCAGTGACCGCGATCTGCTAGCTCTGAGATCGCAGTGACAGGCTGTCACTGCGATCTCAGAGCGCTCTGATCGCAGTGACAGCCTGTCACTGCGATCAGTGTTACATGTGTCAGCCTATTGGCTGACACATGTAACTGGCACAAAGATCCCCCTGCAGATTGGAAGGGGGGAGTGCTTGTACCACCCAGGCACTCCCCCCTGTGGCCAATTACCCAATCTGCAGGAGGTGATCACAGTGACAGGCAGTCACTGTGATCACTGATCCTGTATGTCAGCCAGTGATGTGAAATCACTGGCTGACACTGTCTCTGCCCCCTGTCCTGTAAAAATAAATAAAATATTAGTTAAAAAAAAAAAATTACAGTTAAATATAAAATATACTTAGATCATATATATTATATATATATGATCTAAGTATATATATATATATATATATATATATATATATATATACACACACACACATTTACACATACACGAAGTGTATTTAAATATTAATATATATAATTATTTATATATATTACTATCAAATTACACGTAGACTAATACTGATTAAATATATATATATATATTATTGTTATATATATATATATATATATATATAATATAAAAAAATGTAAATACGTAAAAAAAATAAAATTAAAAAATAATTAAAAATAAATAATAAAAAAATATATAGATGTTTGTTATTTCGTTCTAACTGTATTGTGATATTAATATATATATATTTATATCAAAATACACGTAGAACGAAATAATATATATATCTATATACATAAATATATACATATATATCACTAAATATATACACCTATATATAAATAAAAATATTTTAAAAAATTATATATATATATGTATATATACACATATGTATATATATACATATATTAATTCTACACATATATTTATGTAATATTTTTACATAATTAGGTATCCTAATTAATTACAATTAGCGGGACCTGCCTGACAACCCATGCCGAAAGTATAGGGAATTTAATTTGCTAGCACTATATTTAACCCTATAACTTTCCAAGACACCATAAAACCTGTAAATTGGGGGTACTGTTTTACTCGGGAGACTTCGCTGAACACAAATATTAGTGTTTCAAAACAGTAAAATGTATTACAACAATGATATCGCCAGTAAAAGTGAAGTTTTTTGCATTTTTCACGCACAAACAGCACTTACACGGATGATATTATTGCTGCAATACTTTTTACTGTTTTGAAACACAAATATTTGTGTTCAGCGAAGTCTCCCGAGTACAACAGTACCCCTCATGTACAGGTTTTATGGTGTTTTCAAAAGTTACAGCGTCAAATATAAGGCTTGCGTTTCATTTTTTCACATTAAAATTCGCCAGATTGGTTACGTTGCCTTTGAGACCCTATGGTAGCCCAAGAATGAAAATTACCCCTATGATGGCATACCATTTGCAATAGTAGACAACCCAAGGTATTGCAAACAGGGTATGTCCAGTCTTTTTTAGTAGCCACTTAGTCACAAACACTGGCCAAAATTGGCATTTTTTGCATTTTTCACACAAACAGATACTAACGCTAACTTTGGCCAGTGTTTGTGACCAAATGGCTACTAAAAAAGACTGGACATACCCCATTTGCAATACCTTGGGTTGTCTACTATTGCAAATGGTATGCCATTATGGGTGTAAATTTCATTCCTGGACTACTATACAGTCTCAAAGGCAACGTAACCAATCTGGCGAATTTCAATTTCAAATGTAACGTGCTATATTTGACCCTGTAACTTCCCAAAACGCCATAAAACCTGTACATAGGGGGTACTGTTTTACACGTGAGACTTTGCTGAATACAAATATGTGTATTTTATTGCAGTAAAAGCAAACAGTATTATGACATTGACCGTTAAAATGTCATGTAGAACTAAAAAAATCAAAAAAATCTTATTTTCTCCCATTTTTTTCATATTAAATTATGTTTCATAGCTAAATATTTGATATTAAATGAAAGCCCTGTTTCCCCTGAATAAAATGATATATAATAAGGGTGGGTGCATTTACTATGAAAGAGGTGTATTACGGTTGGACAGACATGTAGCGCAAATGCCAGGTTTTGTTTACATTTTGTTTCGTTCACACTGTGTACATTTGGCTCCGTCCTTAAGGGGTTAAGGGAAAGAAGTGGGATGTTATGCAATGGCCAAGTCAATCACCTGACCTGAATTAGATTGAGCATGCATTTCACTTGATGAAGACAAAACTGAAGGGATAATGCCCCAAGAACAACCAGGAACTGAAGACAGTTGCAGTAGAGGCCTGGCAGAGCATCACCAGGGATAAAACCCAGCGTCTGGTGATGTCTATGCGTTCCAGACTTCAGGCTGTAATTGACTGCAAAGGATTTGCAACCATGTATTAAAAAGTGAAAGTTTGATTTATGACTGTTAAGCTGCCCCATTATTTTTGGTCCCTTAAAAGGTGGGAGGCACATATACAAACTGTTGTAATTCCTACACCGTTCACCTGATTTGGATGTAAATACTCAAATTAAAGCTGAAAGTCTGCAGTTAAAGCACATCTTGTTTGTTTCATTTCAAACCCATTGTGTTGGTGTATAGAGCCAAAAAGATTAGAATTGTGTCGCTGTCCCAATATTTATGGACCCGACTGTAGTTAGGGCAGAGTTAAGGTAGGTGTGGGGTAAGAAATAGTATAACCATAGGGTTAAAAGTAGGGCTGTTGGGGACGGGGCCTGAACCGCATGGAGGATGGATGTGCTGTGGGAGAGCTCCTGCTTCAGCTTGACTAATACACTCTCATAGCCCACTCACATCACACCGAAATGCCCTTTCCTGAATCCCACAGACCTGGGCAGCGGAGCGGAGTCCTCGGGGGTGCCCCATGGCGGGGACAACCCTGG